TGACACAGGAGGATTGCTGCAAGTTTGAGAAAGCCTGGGCTACAAAGTGAGCTCAAGGCCAGCCTGAACTGCATAGCGAGACCCTGTCTCCAAAAGACAAATAAATAAATAAAAATAGAAACAACTGAAAGACCAGTTTCCTTCTTCCTCTGACCTTGATGGAATAAAGGGACTACATCTACTCTCCCAACATCTTTTTTTTTTTTAAATGCATTTGTTACAGGGTTTCACTACACAGCTTGGACTCATAATGATCCTCCTGTGTTCAGCCTCCCCAGTGCTGGAATTATAGGCATGCGCCACCATGCCTGGTTTCAGTGGCCAGCATTGTGTGCCCAGGACGGCATGTGGTACCAGGTATCAAACTTGGGTCTTTGCTTGCCAGGCGGGTGCTCAGCCCGCTGAGCTATCTCCCCAGCCCACCTAAATTGATTATTGATTTAAAGCATCAGACTATATTCTCTCTTTAGAAGAGAAAATGAGAAAGTCTTCAGGCATGCAGGGCTCTTAGGACACTAAAACAAAAGATAAATTGGGCCTCATCAAAATCTTCTGCTCTCCAAAAGCTCTGTGAAAGGATGGAAAGATGAGACAGGATCTGCAAATCACCTTCATGACAGACACCTTATATCTAGAATAATACATAAGGAAGTCTTACGATTCAATGGTACAAGTGCAACAATACAATTACATAGAAAGCAAAAGATGAAGACATTCCACTGAGGCTGCACAGATGGTGAGAACATGCAGAGATGGTCAACATTTTTAGCCATAAGAGAAATGCACATAAAACCGCATTGCAATCAGGTACAGCAATGCACACCTATAATCCCCGCTACATGGGAGGCTGAGGCAAGACAATTTCAAGTTCTGTGCCACCCTAGACAACTGAGTGAGACATTGTCTCAAAAAGACATGGGGTGAAAAAAACCCCACAGTGGCAGAGAACTTACAAGCACGTATTAGGGCCCTGGTCAATCCCCAGTGCCATCAACCAACTATCCCGAGTAATCAGTACATAGCTATCAAGCTAACGTAAAAAATATGTAGTACCACTAGAAGGCGGAGTGCAGAAACTGAATTTGAGGAAATGCTGCTGAAACTTGCAGGTGGGTTGGAGGACAGTGCTAAGGGAGGAGTACACTTCAAAGTGATTCCCAACCTGTGACCTTTGATTTGATCCTAAACCTAAATAGGATACGAATGGGGCAACAGGTGAAATCTGTATAAAGTTTACAGAGCAGACACGGGTTGGTGTGTCAACTTTTGCATGCTGATTCCATATTATGCTTGGGGAACTGGGAGAAGGTATACTGAAATTCTTCACAATCTTTCTTCAACTCTTTGTAAAGGTGAGGTGGTTTCAACGTGAAAAGTGAAAAATAAACCTGTGGCAGCTACGATAGCCGGTTTCACTTTGATGTTCACAGCTGCCAGCTCAGCCACAAAGTACCGGAAAACGTAAGGCACAGAGACAGTGTCAGTCGTATCGCTGCGATTACAAACAGTGCAGCTGTACTTTCTGTTTCGCATGGAAGACCAAGAAGGGGGTGGCTTCTCCAACAGTGGAGAGAGCAAACTGCCGCACTTCACACACACGTGTGCCACCGAGCGGTCAGAGCAGTTGAAGAGGCAGTCGTGAAGCAGAAAAGATGTCCCTGGCAACCCTCCTGCCTCTGCCTCCCGAGTGCTAGCATTACAGGCGTGTATATGGCACGACACCCACCTGTATCATTCAGTCTTAAAGGAGAAAATCTGGCCCTGTTCTCCCAAAGATGACAGCACAGCGGCATCCTGCCAGCGCCGATAAACTGAGCACAAAGACTGTATGGTCTCACTCTTTATCTATTAAATAGTCAAACTCATAGAAATAGCAGAAAGGTGGCTGTCAGTGGGACCAGGAGGGAAGGAAACGGGCTCCACAGGTGTAAGACTGCGCTACGCAAGCCGAGTACATCGCAGAGCCCTGTGCAAGTTTCTACAGTTCACGCCACCACACTGCGCACCGAGAACTTGGCCAGACAGGAGGTCTCCAGTTCAGGGCCTTTACTGAAAACGAAGAAAAAGCACATTAAGACAGACACAGAGTTTTGGCGATAATGGAAATTTTAGAGAGAACGGATGTATTTATTTACCTTTACTGTGGAAATGGCATCCCAGGTTATACATCTGTTCAAACTATCAGACTGTACACATAATTTGTATAAGTTTTGTATAATTCATCAAGTTATTTAAAACACTTTTTTTCCTGTTTTGACTGCAGGGAAGGGGGAATCTGGAGCTAGAAAAATTTGCTTTGCATGATCTGCTTATCACGATACCCATGGAATTTTAAAAAAAATACACCAAAAATCCACTTTGGTAGTTATTTTATCCGACAGATTCAGAAACCTGAATTCCTGATTGCCTGGTCTTTTTTGTTGTTGTTGGAACTGGGGATTGAACTCAGGTCCTTGTGTTTGCCAGGGAATTGCTTATTCTACTGAGCCATCTCCCTAGCCCCCAAAAGATGTTTTTTTTGGCCGACCGGGGATTGAACTGAGGCCCTTGCGCTTGCCAGGGAAGGCTTATTCTACTGAGCCATCTCCCCGGCCTGCCTGGTCTCAAAGTACTAACACTCTTGAAAAAAACAAGAGCAACCTAATCCATATACTATCTTCACTGAATTAAAGTTAGACTTTATTGTAATCTGATGAATCTTCCTGCTTGAAAGGCTGGAATCAAGTTAAATGATATCCAGTTTCACTTTGATGTTCATAGCTGCCAGCTCAGCCACAAAATACCGGAAAACGTAAGGCACAGAGACAGTGTCAATCGTATCGCTGCGATTACAAACAGTGCAGCTGTACTTTCTGTTTCGCATGGAAGACCAAGAAGGGGGTGGCTTCTCCAACAGCGGAGAGAGCAAACTGCCGCACTTCACACACACGTGTGCCACCGAGCGGTCAGAGCAGTTGAAGAGGCGGTCGTGAAGCAGAAAAGATGTACCATGAGCCAAAAGAGCATCCCGCTCCATCTCCCCAAAGCGGATTCCTCCTTGGACATTTCTTCCCCCAATAGGCTGGTTGGTGACTTTATCCCTGGCTCCAGTTGTTCTAACTTGAAATTTGTCCGATACCATGTGACGTAAGCGTTGATAATACACCACACCTATGAAAATGTCCGCTTCTAGTTCCACTCCACTGATGCCGCTATACAGCCTCTCGGTGCCGTAGAAGTTGTAGCCAGCGGCCTTTAACATCTCCCCGAAGTACTCCGAGGCCGAGTTCTCCTCGGAGAAGATGAAAGGTGTGGCATCGTGGCAGAGACCGTGCAAAGCCGCAGACTTGCCCGCCATGCTCTCAATTAACATGCCGATGGTCATGCGGGACGGAAAGCCGTGAGGGTTGAACAGGATGTCCGGCACCATCCCGCTCTCGGTGAAAGGCATGTCCTCGGCTGGCCACAGTCTGCTCAGGATGCCCTTCTGCCCGTGTCGGCTGGCGAATTTGTCTCCGATGGTTGGGTTCCGAGGGACTCTCATTGTGATGCAAATGCACTTGAATTTTCCACTCCCAGATTCATTACTACACACTTTGATGTTGTCCACAATACAATTTTCTTTACTCCTAAGAAAAAATAAGCCATAAAAGAGAAGTTATTCGTTTAAACGTAGACTTAAGTTTTGTCAACATAATTGGTGCTTCGTAAAGGATATTTGTGAAGTTTATTCTTGCCCTAGTTACCGATACAAATACAACTAGTACCTCTCAAAGTATGTGTGTATAGGGCTATGTGTTCATCAGGCAGAATACTAGCAACAAAGACAAGTGAAAAGCTATTATGAAGTCCTACTGAAATTGACTTTATTGCTATGAGAGTATTTTTAATAAAAGGCATAATGAGCTCAACATTTTGCCGAAGAAATATCCCTAACACAATATATGAGAATTCAAATAATAATTCTGAAATACATGACAGATAAAAGGCAGTACAATAGGCATGAAGTCTGCCCCATTCAGGCATGCCAGACTAGCTGTCATGGAGCTCACGCCCCCTGTGATCTGCATGCTGATCCCACCTTAGGACATCCAGTCACGAGGACAGAGCCCGCGTGAATAGTGACTGTAAGAGCTTTCAGGGAAGGGGAGGGCTGGAGGGGAAAGGGGAGTAAAAAATGATCAAGAGCGCCAGTGAGATAGCTCAGCAGTCTAAGGCGCCTACTTAGGCAAGCTTATGCAAGTGCACAGGGACTGCGGTTCGATCCCGGGCACCACATGCCGC